GCCCCCTGAGCATGGATGCCAATAAGGAGGCCTCTGCACTCCAGGGAGCCTCTGGAAGTGGATTAGCATTTTTCCCTGGTGTAAGAAGAGACTTTGAGATCCCATCCCACGTGAAGGGATGCACTCTGGCGCTGGACAAATGGGGAAGGGCCCAGGCCCAGAGAGGTGTGGCAGCACCCTGTCCCCTACCCTCATGCTCCCAATTAACTCAGGAGTTCATGCCACTTCCCATTCCTGGGGTCTATTTATAACTTAGAGTCCTTCATTTGGTGGACTTTGCAGAGCCCCCCTTGAGGGCCCTGCCCTGAAAACAAAACAAAAAAACAAAACAAAAAATAAAATTGAAATTAGACACTTCTCTCATACAATACATACCAATCGCCTCCTTTGTCACCCAGATCCACTCCCTCTGCATTTCCTTTCACAAAAGAACATGCCTCCAAGAGAGGACAATCAAAATGGGCAAACCAGATTTAATAGGATAAGACAAAAGCCCTTATATTGAAGCTGGATAAGGCAACCCAATAGAAGGAAAGTAGTCCTAAGAGCAGACAGAGTCAGAGATACACCTGATTCAACTGTTAGGAGTCTCACAAAAACACCAAGCTAACAGTCATTACATATACACAGAGCACCTGGTACAGACCCATGCAGGCCCATGCTTGCTATTTCAGTCTCTGTGAGTCCATGTGAGTCCTGCTTAGGTGATAAAGTAAGCCATGTTCTCCTGTTATCCTCAATTCCTTTGCGTCCTACAGTCCTTTTCCCCCTCCTCCTCAGGACTCCCTGATCTCTGAGGGGAGGGACCCCATGGAGACTTCCAATTTAGACTCTCTACATAATGTCTGGCTGTGGTGGAAGCCTCTCTAATGACAACTGAACTAGGCAAAGATTTATAGGTATAGCAGAATGTCATTAGTTTGGAAAACACAAATATGAGGTGGGTGTATTTTTAAAACTATGTGAACATAATAGATCTTAGGTCTTTAATTGATATTTTTGGGTTTTATGGGAAATATTTTGAGACACTTGTCAAAGAAAAAAAAAAAAACAGTGTGTGCTGCTGAAGAAAGTCAAAAGGTCCACGGAAGTTTCATTTCTAAGCCCCATTTCTAGAAGTAAACACTGCACCCACATTTTTCATAAAGTGTTTTATAGTTCTGCTGGAGGAAACTAGTAATATGTTCTAAAGGATTAAGTAAATGATATAAAGTACATTAGCAAGCTCAAAAAGAAAAAGAAATAAAAAGTCATGAAAGTTGCAAGCAAATGGATGGAACACGAAAAAGTCATCAGAAAGACAAATAAGGTATGTATTCCCTTGTAAGTGGATTTTAGATGTTAAGTAAATGATACTCAAGCTACAGTCTACAAACCCAGAGAAGTTAGGTAAAATGGAATACTCCACAGAGGACACATGGAACCTCTGGGAAGGGGAAATAGAATAAGTTTTATGAGTAGACTGGGTGTAGGTGGGGACTGGAGTGAGAAGGATCAGGTTTCAGGGGTGGGATAGAGGAAGAGAGTGTGGAAACAGCTGGAATTGGGAAGCACTGGGGAAGAAGTGTGGAAACCTAATGCAGTGGAAACTTCTTGGAATCAATGAGGGTGAACTGGTGAGAACCAGCAATAAAGGATAGGGTCCTGAATCAGCCATATTTTGTAAACAGGTAAGGCTTCCAATACTGGGACTGGATACATTGGTTTGAGTTGTTAGCCAAGGGGATCCCATGGATGGCTTAATTCTTAGGCATGTTACACAGGTCTTTGGCTCTCATAAAACTGTTAACTTTCTTTTAAAATGGCATTATTATATTGGTTGCTGAAGTCTTTCTAACGGTACTTCAACTCTTTTTAATTATATAAAAACACAACTGTACACAAAACAAAAATATATTGCTAAAATTCTCTACTGATAAAGAACTAAATATAGTGGGTTAAGTTAGTCTCTCTAACTTAAGTAAAAAAACATATATTTTATACAAATATATGTTAATTTGAATGACATATTTAGTCAGACTTTTATGAGGAAGGTCACTTGTGCTGGCCAGTTTTATGTCAATTTGACATACTCTAGAGTCATCTAGGTAGAAGGAAACTCAACAGAGAACTTGGCTCCATAAGATGGAGCTGTAGGCAAGTCTGTGGGTCTTTTTATTAGTTAGTGGTTGATGTGGAAGTTCTCAGCCCATTTTGGGTGGTACTGTCCCTGGGATGATGGTCCTAAGTGCTATAGGAAAACAAGCTGAGCAAACCACTTGGAGCAAGACAGTAAGCTGCTTTTCTTCCTGGTTTCCACATCAGTTTCCGACTCCATTCTTGTCTTGAGTCACTGCCCTGACTTCCTTTGCTGACAGACTGTAAATATAAACAAAATAAACCCTTTCCTCCCCAGCTTGCTTATGGTCATGTATTTTAATGACAGTAATAGACACCCTGAGTAAGATATCACTACTTTCAGTTTTAATTGTTTATGACTATTGTTACCTGTCTGCTGCCACAGAACATTTATACATACTGAATTAACCTTTCCTGCCTTTTATCCTTCTTTGATCTTAAGGTGCTATTTGTGGCCTCAGTGATGTATTCATCCTCTCTGTTTCTCATTGTGTTATGGCAATTTGTATTTTTATCATTAAGAAGATAAGTTAAGAAACAGATGAGGCCATATGCTTTGTTTGAAAGGCCCCATGTATATACTGCCAACTTCCTAAAGATCCTTTATATTGTGTAAGAGCATTTACTGAGTGAAACCTTCACCTGACAGTGAAAGAGTGTTTTCACCATGTGCAAGAGGCCATTTGTCAAATGTGACCTTTTCTGTGAAACAGCTACAATTATTAGTTGATTCAAGTGTCAAAGCCCCATCATAAGATAAGGAAGTCAGCTAGAAATTTTTTTCATTTGATAATAGGTTTCAGAAAGAGTTATTGATGGATTTGATGTTTCTGTCTAGGGTTGAAATCTTAGCCTGAAATGTGCCCAGAACAATTTAGATGACCACCTTTGTTGAACTGAGTTATATATAAAAAATATCAGTTTCCTTATAAATTGTTCACAGTGTCCTAATAAATGCCCAGAATAACATCTTATTTTAATTTATGGCATTTCAGATCCACTATCTAAGAAGGGCACACCAAAGTTTTTATGAAATAATTTCTCTAGATGCCATTATTTTATGAAATAAGTAAATGCAATGCAAAAAGGGAAGTTTTTGTATAAAAGCTCAAATACAGAAGGTATACCTCAGGTACTCAGGGATGACATATAATTGATTGTAGAATTAAACAACAGAGCTTTCTTTGTGAGATATGCAAATTGAAAACAAAGGCACCACAAAAAGAACAAAACTGTTATGGCAAACTGCACCAAAGAATCACCAAGGGAAAGGAATAGTAGAAACCTGTACTGAAGGCCATAGCTTAGACATCACTGTACATATTCAACAGTACTTATTTTATAGTTACATCCTACACCAAGATTGTAAAGGCTTACACAAGTCTTTGAGGGGGAAGTACTTCTGTATGTTTATCTTATTGATTGTTGAATAAAGTTCTGTTTGGCCAACGAAACAGCAAGTTATACAGGTCTAGGAGTAAAAGAGGATTCTGGGAAATGTAGTAGAGAAGTGGTGATCCAGGCCAGAAGTGACATAGCAAGGAGACTCATATTTAAGCAAGGAGAAACAGGAAATGTCCCTTTTTCCCCTCTGCTCTTCCTGCAGAGGCGCAATGTGAGCCACCAGCAAGAGAGGGTGCCAGCAAAAGGCATCTTCTATAAGATAAGTCTTATAACATGTATAGATTTGTGATAATTAAGACTGAACTGGCAGATGAGAATCCTAGTCATTGGCCAAGCAGCATTTAAACCTAATACAAGTTTCTGTGTATTAATTTGGGCCCTAACTCGGGCAGGCGGCTGGCGTAAAGCGCACATGTGGTGGTGGGGCTCAGTGGCTTTTGGCGAAAAGATTTATCTTAACAAGTCTTCATATAGATGATCAAAGAAAACAGGGACATTAAATCAATACACAAGATTTTACTCAAAAAGAAAGTATAAAAATACTATGCATATGCACAAAATGTAACAATAGGAGCATGAGCCAAACAAAAGAAAATTTTAAAAGCAAAGGAAGTGACTTGACATTAAAATCATAGCATGTGATGGGCTTAAAGCACACTTACATGTTTTAAAACTCCTGGCAAGAAAGTAATGTGCCTTGCAATTATGAGGAACACTGGGTCAACTGAACGGAAAGCTAAAAATAACCGCAATTTCATTTTCATTAGAATATATTACATCAGATATAAAAATTGAAAAACAAATTGTATGTAATTATACAATAATTGGGAGTTAATCTACATGAGGGTACTACATAACAAATAATTGGAACTGAATTGACATGAACATTCATCCTAAGTGACCAGAACCTCATGATTTGCCCCTCCCTGGAAGAACCTTGTTATTTCTAAGGACTTTGTGGACTTCATTCTATCCGTCATTTGTATTGCACTTTAATTCATGAACAATACCATATAAATGAGAGCTGTGAAAAATGACACTTAATAATCAGTGGGAAATTATCGTGGCTGTTTCTGGAGCTTCATAAAATTTGGTGAACATGTGAAATACTTTCTTACTGTCATTTAGGAATATATGGAAAGTAAAAATTGCTAAAACTAAATTATTTATACTGTAACTTGAAACATTAAGTTTCAATATTTTTTTAATGAAATCTACCAAGATCCCCTTCAAACATTATTGGCCTGTCCACACTATGTTGCCTCCAGTACAGAACCAGGAACCTCTGACACTACACTCATTGTTCTGCTACCCTCTAAGTTTGCATCGGCTTTTGCCCCCTTGACTTAATGCTGTAAATATCTGAATTCCTCTAAATATCTGAATTCCTCTATCATACTTATTTCCCTCACATCTTTGCCCATTGGAGCTCATCATCGCCTAATTTAGGCCAAAGGTTATCCTTTACAAAAAGTCCTCTGGCTGTGCATGAATGGTTCCTTCAATGACAGACATGTGCCAATGCTCTCACAATCTATTTCTGCTGGGGCACCATTTAAATTTAATTCTCATTTGATTTCCAGCATGATCATTTCTGTTTCTTCACTACATGCTCATATGTTACTTTACTTCTTTATCAATTATGGAATTAAAGAAATGTCATCTATGTTTAACATTGGGAGATAAAAAGGCCAAGCAACTATATGCTTTACTGTGTGTATAAATGACAAAATACTGCCTATATGATTCTAGGATTTACTAAATGGCAAGTTATGAAAATATTTTGTTGTTATTCTGAAGAATTGCTTTAGATAGAGAGAAACAGGAGAAACCCTGGGGAGGTGGACAGAATGAATCACTTGATTTTTTCACAGTTGTGTCAAACTTCAGTTAAACTATAACTTTGAATGATTTAATATAGAGCTTTTGAATTACTGTATAAATACAGAAAGGATTTAGTGAATATTTAATTAACATCATCCTGAAGCTAATTATTGAAAATAATTTGTTTTTTCCTTAATACTATAATCTAGTATACAATATGTAGTATTATAGTGTATACTATATGTACATACTGAATAATTGGCAGTATATGTGTAAATGCTATACAGAGCTTGCATTATATCTCTTAGTAGCCTTTGTTTGAAAAAAGCAGAAAATCCAATTACACAATAAATGTATTTGCTTCACTGGGAATCACAGAAAGGGTCTCTCCATCTCTTCCCTACAGATGTTACTTCAGATGAACATGTGACCCACAGCTTCGGAGCTTGAGAGGTGGAGCTGATAGATCATGAATTCGTTGTACAAACATTTCACTTTTCAGATCAAACAGTGGGGAATTAGTGAAGATAAGGAAAACAAAATGAAGGTAAGAACATGCCTTGCTCAACTAAAACAATGCAGTGAAATTATGCTTAGCATTTGAGGGGCATTCTTTCAGACTTGCCATCTCCCTTGATGCAAACGATCATCCTCGAAAGTTACCAGGGGATACTAAAGTGAATAAGCCAGTAACAGATTTAAAGATGTCAAATATCTTTCCTGAGGAGACGCAGCAGGCACACACAGAGCTCCTTATACTGCCACCCACTCATTGTCAAGCCAAGGCTACGTCTGTTCCTCACCTTGTGCCCTTTTATAATTGGAAATGGAAGCTACTCACAACTTTCATTTACAGAAACAACAGAATAAAACAACATGTTTTCAGCATGAATATTTAGCAACCTTGATTTTTTTCCCAAAGGTTGGCAGGTGTTATTACTATAAAATATACAAAACATAATTTGCTAGAAATATGTTAAATGCAAGGTCAAGCCAAACACTCTCTATATACTTGCACAGAATGAAAACGATTAAATGGTTTTCTTTTGGAATGCAGACTGAACTGCTTTTAAATCATCCACGCATTCCATGTTTTGCTTCAGAGTGGTGTGAGTGGGCTAGAAGCTCAGTTCTCCCTTGTTTCCCTTCACTTTCTCTACTATCAAATCTGCATGATAATAACCTCATGAATTGATTATCTTTAAAAAGAATTTAAAGTGTTTCGATATATTTTTATTGTGCTGCATATATACTATAGTGTCTTCTTTCTGTAGTGATAAACAGTGTGACTAAAATCAACTTAAGGGTCAAAGGGTTTTTTTTGGGGAAGGGGTGTCTTACCCTTCCAAGTCACAGTCCATTATGGAGGAAAGTCAGGGCAGGAACTGAAACAGGAACAATAGCAGAAACCACACAGAAATGATGGTTTTTGGCTTGTTACCCTGAATAATGCTCCTATAAAACCCAGCCCAGGACTGTCTGCCCAAGATGGTAAATGCCTTCAGTGGGCATTTACACAGCAATGGGGAAATCTATCTGGGAATTCTTATTGCTTTGACAGGAACACTGTACTCATGAAATTTCAACAATATAGGTGTCTAACCAAGAGAAGCATAATGATCACGTCTGTCAATGTGCCAATGTGAAAGGAAGAAATTTCAGAAGTTCTTACCCACAGATGAAGAGTTATGGACACTCAGTGGCTACTGAGGGAGAGAGAATCAGTTTCATCAGGGGCTACTACCTTGATATGTTATTCAATTCCTAGCTCTAATCACAGGTACAGAAGAATAATACTAAATGGGCTCAGTAGGTTGCACATGTGTATATTATTGTATATACACACATGTAGATGTGTGGATATAGATTTAATATAGATTTAATAGATTTAAAATAAATATATAATTTAATTATATATGAGAGGTCTTGAATTTGACAGGAAGTGTGGGAGGATAGGAGCGAAATTGGAGGGATGATAAAAAGTGGTGGAAATAAGTTAAAGTACTCACATATGAAATAATGAATTTAATTAAAATATTTTAAAATGTTGGATAGACTTTTCTTTTCAGTAACACAAGCTGTGTATTATAATTGTAACAAAGGTCAGATAATTTGCTGTTATTTCTTTTAGTTCAATTATATTGAATAAACTTATAAATGCTTATAGCTTAGAAATAAATTATTATAAAAGATTAACTGTTTAACTTTATTTCATTTAAATTTACATGGAAGTTATGTTTGAAGAATTGTGATTTATATGACAGTCAGTGGGATAATATGGATTTAACAGCCCAAGACAGAACTCGGACTTTCCTCTATGTAGCAAGCAATTTGTTCAAGCTGAAGAGTCTGACTTAAACACATGTGAGGCTTGCATATTTCCTGGAGGCCCACATTAAATCCATCCAGCAGTCTAACGACCTTGCCACCAGCTTCCTCCCAGAAAACTGACATTCACATTTGTAAGGTTAAATAAAATACATAACAGGAAAACTAAAATGAAGAACTACTGTGAGTCAAAGAAGCATGTCGTAGTTTTTCTCATCTTCCCTGCAAAGTTAAACCTTTGGATAATGATCATGTCAAGAACAATATCTTTTCATGTGAACTGTCTCTACACTGAAGATGACAATTCAAGTTTGGGAGGACACACTGAAACAATTCTTTTATGTATCAAGCTTTTAAAAATGAAATTATTCTGGGTTATGATCTCAAGAATTATGCATTGACTCCCCCTGGCACTGTAGTTTCTTTAGTCTATGAAGGTACTATTAGAGTGAGCAATTAGTGTGGCTAATGTAATTTAGGTAAAATGTGGACTAAATTACAATTTAGTAGAGAAATCACTCATTTATTTTGAAGAATTAGAAGAATGTTCTTAGTGAATTATGCAATAAGAAATGGATATTTAATCATATTTAAACACACTCAATCAATTTAAAATGTTTATCTGCTTTGATTTTTAAAAACCTATCATTTCCTAGAATAACATATTCACAAAGCGTCATATCTTATATGATAGATATGTTTCTGGGTCTATATTTCTAGAAATTAATTTCAGTAGACTATACTAAATTTATTTAACACACTGGAGATTTTATTATTATTGTTTCAAATTGTGTAGGGGGCCTATGCTTGTGTGGTTTTGTGCATATGCACATGCATGTGAAAGCATAAGCTTATTTGTCTACAGAGGCCAGAGGCATCAGATGCCTGGAGCTTGAGTTACAGGTGATTGTGAACTGCCTCAATGTGGGTACTGGGACAATAGAGCCAATGCTGTTGGCAGAGATATAGGTGATCCAGGCCTGTAATTGTGAGCAGGGGAGAGCTGTGACCATTACTCATCAGTTACGTGGCCTCATGGGTAGGGGAGACATGACATTCTACCCTTGCCCATCAAGCCTGAGGCAGATGAGAGAGCTAGTCATGAGGTCATAAGAGTGGGAAAGCTGCCCCTGCCCCTCATCAGTGGCAGCACCCAAGAGTGTGGCACTTACACCAGGCCTGGGCAACACAGTAGAGCTGGCCCTGAAGGTGTAGGTGTGGGAGATCAGACCTTGAGAACTTAAAAGCAGGAGAACAGGCCCAGCCCCTTACTCATGCTGCAAGGGGTGAACTTACCAGGACAATGCAGGATGGGTCACCCTGGTGGTAAGGACAAGGAAAGATGGTGGGCTGACCAACCCTGTAAATACCCAGGCCCAGAACCCAGGTGTGTTGGCCCACCTCAACATCCACCCCAGGTGTAATCTGCTGGAGCAGATGAAGGAATTGGTTCTTCAGACACAAAGCTGTGCGATCTCCACAACAAACAGCTACATCCGAATAACCAAGAAAATTTCCAGTGAAGCCCGGGTATTGCTAGTGTAGCAGAAAGCAGAGGCCTTGAACCAGACCAATGGCTCTGCAGTGAACACTTGCAAGTGAAGTTATAATGAATAAAAGAATTTACTGTGTGACTCACAATATGACACTAAAGCTGACATGATGAGATTTTTTTTCTTTTTTGCTTCTCTCTTCTCTGTTAGGAGAGGAGGTTGCAAGGGCAGAGGGTGGATGTGAAGTGACAGGGAAATGAATGTGATGGGGATGCATGATGTGAAAGACACAAAGTCTTTTCAGTTGTGATAATATGGGTGGAACTGGAAATTATTTCAGTCAGAGAATAGTAAGTCCACATGATCTTATCTGTACATTAAATGTAATGAGTTTTAGAAAGAGTTGGAGATGGAATGGTTTTCCCATCAACCAGGGACATCTAGAAGCTGAGACTTGGGACTTATGGAACAATGGATGTTCTGAAACAGTGTGATAAGAGCACAATCAGTGCTCACTGTAGTGTTTCTCCAAATGCTGAATGAATGGAAGCATCATGAAGGGTTCATTTCAGGATCTAGGGAGATAGTGTTTCAGGAGATGAGCGTACTATAACAAAGAAGGATGATCCAAAGCTTACCCATGACATTATTATAAAATACCCCATTAATATTTAAATCAATGATAATTTTAATGTATTAATAAAAAGGAAAACTAATGTAAAAATATGGCCATTGGTAGCTGATCTTGGGTCCTCTAGAACAGCACTCAGCACTATTAACCACTGAGCTATCTCTGCAGCCCTGAGATGTTGCGAATTTCAAAGAGTCCTCAACTTTTCATTCACTTGAAATAATGCTTTTCTTATTTCTTTTGAGAATGCACATTCCTCTTTCTATAGTAAGTCAAAGCAATTTGTTTTTACATCTCTTTTATATTCTGTTTTCCATAATGAGTAACTAGGTGTGGTGGCACATACCTTTAATGTCAGCACTTGGGATGTACAGGCAGCAGGGCAGCCTAGTCTGTTATATTGAGTACCAGGACAGCAAGGGCAACACCAAAACAAACTGACTGTCAGACTGACTAACTAACTTTGGTTATTGTTAATATATAAGACATCAATATTCTATGAGCTCCCTTAATTACACCTAAAAATATAACTTAGTATATCAACCAGAACTCCAGTGCAGTCATTAGGGATGTGTTGTTTAGAATCGGAGTGACATGGTTTTATACTTGTGTTATCTTACACAAGTGAAATAGAATGAGGAGGTTGATCACTTACAATAATTCTTTTCTGAATAAAACAACAAATTATTGTGTATTTACCTTAGTTAAACATGGGAACATGTTATAAGCTTATATAATATGGGCTCTCAGAGTGTTAGCCAATATTCTCTCAACTATTAATACAGGCAGATTAAAGGTGAGGAATCTAAAATCAAAGACAACAGCAGAAACAAAACACATCTGTATCTCACAAAGAAAATTGCCCTGTTTAGAAATTACAAAAGGGAATAATTAGAAAGAATATTGCTTATAATGAATGAATCTGAAACCCGTGCTTACATGTTATTATAAACATGAAGATGATTGAACACTCTCATTTTAGGACTTTGCAGATTTTATTTATAGTCTACCTACTTATTTGATATGAAGCAGTTGTTTTGTGATTCACAATTTTCATTAAATCAAACTTTAATTAAAAAGTTTCCACCTGGAGAC